TTGAGTACATTGTTACATTCCTATTACTCACAAAAGCAGCATAGGGAAACTTTAAACCAGAGGTGTCTAAACTCGGTCCTGGATGTCCACTCTTCTGCAGAATTTAGCTACAACATACCTGGAAGTTTCTGGTATGCCTAGTAATACCTTAGTTAACTGATTCAGATGTATTTAATTAAGGATGGAGCTAAACTCTGCAGGACAGTGACCCGCAGAGCAGGATTCGACACCCCTGCTTTAAACAATCACTTTTTTTATTCAAAACATTGAATGCGTTTAATTTGTGTATATTGAAGTCTGTCAGTGTGTATTGTATATAGAATAACCAACTGTTAGTAATTTTTACTCTGTTATTTTCTGATTTTAAAGGCTCATGGTGAGACACTTCATACACACAAGAAGGGTGTGCAAGCTGGCCTCCTAATACGAAGACTACGATGGTGCAATGCAGGACAACTTTCTCCTTTTAAATGTTCAAGAAAAAAAGGACTATAATGGACATGTATGTGTGTTTTTTCAAGCTTTTCTCAGTGGTTGTTTCCCATGAGGAATGAGTGTATTTTCAGCTTTGTTTGACAAGTTTCTTGGCAGTTTTTTGCTACTTTTGTGCCCTTGTTGTATACATATACTGGCATTCATATTTTATTAAAACCCTGTTTATAAGCACTGCAAGAAAAAAATAATTTTTAAATGTTTCAAACAAATGTTGTAGTATATATTTTTTTATTATCTTGATCTAAAATAAAGTTTACATTATCATAACTAGAAAATTTATGTTAAAAATGTTTTACTTAAGTTGAAACAACAAATATTGTAAAGTCAAATGAACTTCAATAAAACAATTCAGCACTAGGCAAGATTTAAATTAGTGAGTTGAAGCCTAGTAATACCTTAGTTAACTGATTCAGATGTATTTAATTAAGGATGGAGCTAAACTCTGCAGGACAGTGACCCGCAGAGCAGGATTCGACACCCCTGCTTTAAACAATCACTTTTTTTATTCAAAACATTGAATGCGTTTAATTTGTGTATATTGAAGTCTGTCAGTGTGTATTGTATATAGAATAACCAACTGTTAGTAATTTTTACTCTGTTATTTTCTGATTTTAAAGGCTCATGGTGAGACACTTCATACACACAAGAAGGGTGTGCAAGCTGGCCTCCTAATACGAAGACTACGATGGTGCGATGCAGGACACCTTTCTCCTTTTAAATGTTCAAGAAAAAAAGGACTGTAATGGACATGTATGTGTGTTTTTTCAAGCTTTTCTCAGTGGTTGTTTCCCATGAGGAATGAGTGTATTTTCAGCTTTGTTTGACAGTTTCTTGGCAGTTTTTTGTTACTTTTGTGCCCTTGTTGTATACATATACTGGCATTCATATTTTATTAAAACCCTGTTTATAAGCACTGCAAGAAAAAAATAATTTTTAAATGTTTCAAACAAATGTTGTAGTATATATTTTTTTATTATCTTGATCTAAAATAAAGTTTACATTATCATAACTAGAAAATTTATGTTAAAAATGTTTTACTTAAGTTGAAACAACAAATATTGTAAAGTCAAATGAACTTCAATAAAACAATTCAGCACTAGGCAAGATTTAAATTAGTGAGTTGAAATGACTTGTACTTTTAAGTTGATTTAACTTCAAATTTTAAGGCAGCCACAAAACTTACGTTTTTTAAGTTGGAAGGGGTGAATATTTTTTTACAGTGTAGTTTCATAACAGAAGAACTGTAATTGTTTTAGTCATGAAAAATCCCACCACAATATAATTTCCACCACATCTCACATGATGTATTGTGTTTAATAGCATTTAGAGATTGAAAAAACAATGGTGGAAATTACATTAAGAAAAAGAAAATACTCTTAATTTAGATTATTTTTGCAAAATAAATACTGAAGTGTTTTATTTTTCATCTCTCTATTTGTTTATCAGTTTTAAATACATAATTCGTATTTAATGAAGGGAGGAGAGGAAAGGAAAGAACCCATGGCACATTAAAAGAAAAACACTCTTTGCATTTATACTACTGTATATACTACATCCTGCATACTGAAGTTAAACTTTGAGTGTAAAATTTAAAAATCTTTTCTTATATAAATGGCTCTTTGGGCACAGCATGGCAATTGACAGAGTGCATACTGGGGAAGTTGAGCTCAAAGATTGGGGAAATTAGATGTCACAAATATCGATTTCTTTATTTCAAACACAACGGGTCAGAAACTTATGGACTAAAGCCACAATAGATCCTCCACTCCCACTGAGAGTGACACTTCAATCTATGCTTCAGGGTTGAACTAAATGAGCACTCTTTCATCACCTGTTTTTGTTCCCGCTCTTTTGTACTAAACTTGTATTTTACATCAATCTTAGATTGGAGATGCCATAAAGACCTTATTAACGGAGATGTGAAAGACAGTCACCAGACAAATAGCAATTTTCCTGCAGGGAAAATATTCTTCTCTGCTTATAAAGTTAGTAACTAAAATAAAAAGAATGCATAAAAACACACTGAATAACCTCTGCATTTAGTGCAAAATCCAAACTAAAATAGTCAGGGCGTTGGAGGACGTTGATGAACTGAACTCATTACGCTGCAGAGGACAAAGGAAGTGCTTGTTTTAGCTGCTGCTAATCACGCCCCTCAAAATGAGGAAGGTTGTGGGTTTGCAGCCTTCTCCACTGGGACACTGTCCAAATTCAATCAGGATCTTTCAGTTTTTAACATCAAGAAAAAGGTAGGAACATCATCAACAGTAGACCTACTACAGTCTAAGTAACATCAATATATATATATATATATATATAACACCTCAGACAGGTCATGCATCTAAAAGTCATTACATGCCAGAAATGAACTGTATTCAAGGAAATGTGAGATCCACGGCATTATTTCATAGCTGAATTTCCTGTCACAGCAAAAATGCTGCCACATTAATCAAATTGTTAACTATTATGAGGAAATATTCCTACTTGCACGACATTGAGACAAATGACCCGAAATATTGTGCGTGCCATCGTTGAATTATCTTAAAAGAGACTACGAAGCATTTTTCGTGAAGCTTGAAAGATTAATTTACCTTGCTAATCAGTCCTCCACATTTTTGCCTCCCCCCCCCTTAAAAGTTCAATAATCAAATTAGCATTTTCTAATTTTTTTCCAAAATAAGACAGGTGGTGTGGAGATCCTGCACTAAACCAGCAGCCATGTGCTATTCAGAAAAAGGGCAGAACGCATTCCAGACAATCACCAGAGCTTTATCTCATCTCCGTCCGATTACAGAGTAAATGGGATGAAAAATTGCCCTCTATCTGCATTGTGCGCTCATATGGCCAAACCTCAAAACTAATCTACAGCGTATTGTTTTAGACTCACACCGCATTCTGCTCAAATCAAAGCAATATCATATATCAGGGGTGTTTGTAGCCTCTAGAATATCAATGAGGGCACCCTATCTGTTTTCATTACCCTGATACGCATTCATTACCGCGTGAATTTAAAGTCTAAGACGCGTGGCATTAAATATGCAAAGTCAGAGCCTCGCTGTTCAAAAACCATTTCAGAAGATCCTGTGGGATCTTTTATTGTTGACCGTTCCTTCTGCATTTAATGAGGCCCCTCTGAAGCATAGAAAGCCAATGAGCCGGTTTTACACCATGGGACTAAGAGTAAACGAGAAAGTGCTTTGAGAAAGAGAGGAAGTGAGGGCATGGTTTCCTTTCCTCTCTACTCTTCCTCCTCATCCTCCTTTCTCTCCCACTGTTTGCGTTCCCATGCGCTCGTGGCCGTCTGGAGGGTTTGTAATCCCTGTCGCCCCTCTCGTGCACCTCATGATTACCAACAAGAAAAGCCGGAGACATGGGCAGAGGCCACGATAAAGAGCCCACATGTGCAGGGGGGTTGGCATCTGTGTACAGAGTCTGGACTGGTAAGATTACCCTTGTATTATTGTCTGGAGACAGGTGGAGGAGAGCTGTAAAAATTCCTATTTATTATAATATTGATAAAAAGGGACATTTAAAGTTTAGCTTTGTATATTGTACAGAACACATCATGAGTTTAAGTGTGATAATTCCCACAGAATCATTGCACAGCTAAATGGCATTTGCCATAATGCAACACTTATCACTTGTCAGTTTAATAGGGTAACCTTAACAGGACGAAACACAGTAAAATACTCCTTTATATAAAAATGTCAATAAGTAAAAGCCATTTTGACGGTTCCTTTATTTTCCAAGACATTATTTTCAAGAACGTTTTAAGTAATACTTAAAGTACCTTAACTCCCAAATAATATAAAATATGGGATATATTATTAGCATGGTAGTACAATTTCGATACTTTGCTGCCATTGATATATGGAGAAATATTTATTTTCACTGGTATAAGAACATTTTAAAGGACTTAAATTCCATTGCCATTCAGACAAGCATTTTGAAGCTTCAAGCAAAATTCAAGTTTTTTCCCGCACTGAACAACAGAAAGTGGCATTAAAAAACACACACACTGTATCAAACATATGACCAAATGTCCATGTTAAAACATTTACACAGACTGGAGAATTAATTAAATTTGATATAATCAAGGCAGAAAGTGACTTTTTCCAGCACCTGTGAAGATAATTAAACATGTAGTTATGACGCAATAAATATTTTAAGTGCCCAAACACATGTTGCACTAGTGTTATTTTAACATTTATATACTAATAGTTTTTATTAATATACAATTTTTTTCCCAGATTTAGTTACATTTTATGTTTTTATTTATTGCTATCTAGTAATTTTAGCACTTTACATTTAACTTATATCAGTAAGTTGCCAAGGCAACATTGCACTTTTCTTTTTTTAATCTATATTTTTATATTTAATTTTATTTCAATTAACAAAAAAAAAAAAAAGTTAATAACCTTGAGTGACACCGATTTCACTTTTTTGGAAATGCACCTACAAGCCTAATGGTCTATACTTAACAGTTTTATTATAACATTACACTAAAACATTAAAAATATACAAATTTTCTAAGACATCAGGGTAATTTTCTTGCATTACAAAGATGCGTTTTCCAAGATGGGTAGGAATTTTGAGCTTCAAGTATTCAAGATTTAAGCTGAAATACATTGAAACTAGACTCTGGATTTATATCAGTATATTTATTAAATTATATTTTATATTATAAGTTTCAGGACCTGGTTTTGTACCACCTCATTGCCCCCGTTGCATTTTTGCTTGAACTTTAGGCAGATTCACACAATGAGAATCAGATCTCACCTTCAGCACCATCATTACCACTTGCCGGAGTCTCAGACGATGCACAACACAGAGGTCATAAATAGCTGAGATGGCCAGAACAGTCACTCCCTGCTCCTTCCACAGTAAAGCGGCCGCAGCAGCACCCAAACTCCCAGCAAGCCACAGCGCTGTCTGCCATTCAACCCTGTCCGAGTGTGCTGTGCTGGCCCTGAGACGGCAGTACTGGGCATAACAGATCAGGGACAACAAGAAGCAAAAAGCTGCACCCACATCTGCTCGTCCCACCACCCCAGCTACTGCTTCAGTGTGTATGGGATGAGAGGCGAAGAGCAGACCCGCCAACAGGCTCCACGGTCCTCCACCCAGCAGAGGGCGACAGAATGCAGTGAAGAGCGCAGTGACGCAGCAGTGCAGGCCCACATTGACCAGGTGGTAGCCCCGGGGAAAGAATAATACTTTTCTAGTCTGTTTCAGTGGTAGTTAATACATCAAGCCTTCAGTACAAGTGGCGCAGTTTCCTGTGACCCATATCTCTGTCTATAGAGCTCTCTGTGACTCCATGAGAAAGCCTGCACTTGTTTTCGACTCAGGAAACACAATGCTGGGAAAGTGAAGAAATCGACGGCTGCCATCACGCTATGACCCTTGAAGTGAGGTCACAAACCATCAGACGCCACATATCACAAACTTTACTCCACATATTGCCATTTTCTTTATTGTAGTGACAGTCTTATTAAAGTGCCAAGTGAAGAACAAATACAATTAAAAATGCACAATATATAATTCTATAATATAGAATACATAAATACATTCAAGAAAATTTGCTTTAAAACGTTTTTTTATCTAAATCGTATTAGATTACACATTAGATGAATCTGCGTAGCCCTTTGTGCATTTCTAGACAGTAGATCCTGAACGTTTCAGAAATGGACCAGTGTTTGCAAACAATTGTACATTATTAACTCTTATCTGGATATATGTAGGTGCTTATATCATGTACATTTGATCATGAGGTAATCTTGTCCTAATTGGGCAACGGCAAATCAGATTACTGTGAATATAGTTTGGTCCATTATGAACAGCTTTGCTCCGAGGTCATAACGGAAGGTATTAGCAAATAGCATGTACTGCTCTAAAACTATTACAAACAAACTCAGAAGCAAAATATGTAGACAGACAAACAAACGTGCCCTGTGTGTTTAGATTTTGTGTGGTCCAATCAAATGTATATAAGCCAAGATGCTCATCGGTAGACAGCTGTGACACTGAGCACTTGACAAATACATTCAAGAAAATTTGCTTTAAAACGTTTTTTTATCTAAATCGTATTAGATTACACATTAGATGAATCTGCGTAGCCCTTTGTGCATTTCTAGACAGTAGATCCTGAACGTTTCAGAAATGGACCAGTGTTTGCAAACAATTGTACATTATTAACTCTTATCTGGATTTATGTAGGTGCTTATATCATGTACATTTGATCATGAGGTAATCTTGTCCTAATTGGGCAACGGCAAATCAGATTACTGTGAATATAGTTTGGTCCATTATGAACAGCTTTGCTCCGAGGTCATAACGGAAGGTATTAGCAAATAGCATGTACTGCTCTAAAACTATTACAAACAAACTCAGAAGCAAAATATGTAGACAGACAAACAAACGTGCCCTGTGTGTTTAGATTTTGTGTGGTCCAATCAAATGTATATAAGCCAAGATGCTCATCGGTAGACAGCTGTGACACTGAGCACTTGAGTGTCTCCAAAATATTTAAGTTTTATAGCGAAGGTCTATGTCTCCACTTACCATTCCTTATTTGACCCAAAGATAAGCAGTGCCTGAGAAAGCTGGTTGTTTTGAATAGCAGTAATGAGGCTGAGTTATGTTATGAGGTTTATCTGTGGACCTTGAGGAGGAAACACACTCAAGTTGTGACGTCCTGTAAATGTACGTTTTCCTCAAATCCAGAAAGTGTCATTTGTCTCCTCGAGGGACTGGAAAAATGCAGTCCTATCTTGGAGCATCTATCCCTGCTCATTGACAATACACTTTACACCACATACATTTGAAGTTTTCAGCTTCCAGTGTTTATAATCTCTATAAATCACTCGTGAGTCGCCTCACAGTCACTGAGAGTTCAGAAGGTTAATGCAGTTGACTGTGAGGGTGGCTTGATGTACAGTCATTATTCAATTCCAACATAGCCTGTGAAAGTAATCGGATTGAACGTGCCATTGAGGGTACAAGAAGTAGTTATGTTGTACATTGTTCATAAGCAGTTATGTCTCATTGCAGTTATTGTACATATTCTCAAAATAAAATAGTCGTTGGGTTTCCAAAACACCTAATCGGCCCAGAACTTTGATTAGATATAAACATTGCAGGTAATCAAATACATACATATTTATATTGATTTAAAATATTAATAATAATAATAATTTCATAAATAAACGAATGTGTTTGTATTAAATTGTTATATTCACAAATAAAATTGATTTAATAATAAAAACAATAATGATGATGATAATGATTATTATTTTTATTATTATTATTATATTAGGTTTATTATTATATTTGGTTTATTTCTATCAAATTTTCATGACTTATTACAAACAAAATTATTATTACAAATTATTGCATCAATACTATATTATTATTATTAATAATAATAATAATTATTATTTTTAAAAGATCGTATTCTACCATGTCAAACAGCTAAAGTACAGCACAATAAAGCAGATGTGACAAAAACATTATTATTATTATTATTATTATCATCATCATTAATAATTTTTAAAAGATATTATTCTACCATCTGTCAAACAGCTAAAGTACAGCACATTAAAGCAGATGTTAAGAGAAAAAAAAACTGCATCGCACCTCATATTGGCAGATTAGTGCCGAGTATTGGAGCGGGACAGAGCGGTTTTGCATCCCTGCACAGGGGAACATGGCTGCAGTGTTAATCTGACACTAATAAGATTACAGGCATATCATAGAGCCAGAATATTTTAGGGGCACAGCTGGAGGACAAGGTCTTAATGACTTTAAACCTGTCCCAACAGAGATGTGTGCAACCCTCGTGTTTGTAGTTTTAACAAACTCAGTAATGAAAAGCAATCAGCTGTATGACTGTTTTAGAAAATAAATGAACTAAAATGTTACTTAGCTTAACATGAAGCAGTAACTATAAACACTGATGTTTTCCAACAGATTCAAGCAAATCCCATTTGCAGTCTTTACAACCCCTTGCTGGCAAGTATTCATAAATGCTCTATAGAAAACAATTCTGGGGAAAATTGGCATCAAAAACACGCTCATAAATGTCAGCGCATTCACAAATGCTGGACCACTATGATGGATTGGTTTAATTTAATTCATACTGGCAACAAGAGTTCTCTATTTCTTTAAAGAAATCAAGTGTAAAAACATCCATTAGGCCATAAAGCTAAATTATATGATGTAGTTTGTGAAGCATCTCCTCAACAGAGAATGACAACACAAAATAAGCAGTAAAAAATCTAAAATACAATTGCTAGCACATTCTTCACTGCATTCACTAAAACCATGATTTCTTAAGGTGTCACTGACATTTCAGATTTTTCTAAAGATTTGAACCCACATCCACATAGCCCAGTCCATATTTCAGTTGTTGAGGAGACGTCAGTGTTGTGTACGGTACACAACATCTGATATACCTCATAAACTCATTACAGCAGAAATGCCTGATCCTTTCTCTCATATGGCTTCTGGCTATAACATCACCACCAAATCACTGAGCGCTCCACTTTTAATCAGAAGCAATATCTCATATCATCCATCTGAAAGGTTAAGTATGCAACATACACACCACCAGTCAAAAAAAAAAAAGGCCAAATTTATGTTTCTTGTGATCTGAAGGCTTATGTTTAAATGCTTTAAATTAGATTTGTAGACAATATAAAGTGTCTACATAAGAATGTTTTTACAACAAGAAACTTTTGATTGTTTGGTCACGACAATGTAAATTAAAGCATTTTTTTTCTGTATTATTGACTTATTTAACTATTTTGATAGTTAAAGGGCATCTTTTAACCAAGAAAAATCAATTCAGTGCCACCATTCATCAACATACATTCACAATAAAAGGCATCTATAGGGGTCATACAGTGAACAAAAGCAAAAAAATACTGAAGCAAAGAGGCAGTGATCAAAGCCACTAGGCACTCACAGCTGGCCAGATGTTAAAGCCAACTCTGGCATGAGCATTTAACTAGGCCGAGATCTTGATTAAGATTTAGCCCTCTTGTCTACTGGAAACCATTCATGAGCGCAAAAAACTTATAACAGCCAATCGGAGCGCACAGTTTTTTTCAGCCATCAAAGGCGCTGGCGGACTGGGGTGGAGCAGGGAAACGGTAGTGTCCTTCAGTGCTGGACTCTTTCATCTGCTCAGAGAACACATCCTGATTAGTCCAACAACAGCTAGAGGAGAAAAGCTTGCCAAAAAGGCCTGATATAAACATACAGCGACAGCATGCAGTGATCCAGGGCACTTAATTAGGCCAAAATATTACAGTTCCTTGAATTTAATAATGTTAACAACTGTGAAAAAAAGACGTTTTACCATAGACACTGCAAACACACACACACAAAATAAATAAATAACTTGAAAATGAGATTTCGCTAGAAAAAAAGTAACATTTGTGGCAAGTTTCTCTTTAACAAAATAAATTAATAATGAAGTAGATAAAAACTAGATACAGTGCCCTTCACCAATATTGGCACCCTTGGTAAATGAGCAGAAAAGGCTGTGAATTTTTTTTTTAAATGAAATTGAATTAATTTAACCTTTTGCTTAAAATATTAACAAAAACAAACTGCTCTCATTGAAAACAAACGATTGCAAACACACCACAGTTCTATCAAAGCACACACACTTTATCTTTGTTAAATGTGTGTGCACCACAATTATTGGCACCCCTATGAATTCATACAAGAAAAATATTTTTAAAGTATATTTTCATTGATATTTTACATTTTTAGTACACCTGGGTGACCGGGAACAGGAAATTGTTCAACTATGACCTCATGTTTCACAGGGGTATAAATATGAGGTAACACATATAGGCCAAACTCCCTTACTCATTCATCACAATGGGCAAGACAAAAAAACAACATACAGTAGTTGTGATGTGCGGCAAAAGGTTGTTGAGCTTCGCGAAATGAGAAGTGGCAATAAGATAGCAAAAACACTGAAAATGCCCATTTCCACCATCAGGGCAATAGTTAAGAAATTCCAATCAAATGGAAGTGTTATGAATCAGCCTGGAAGAGGATGTGTGTCTATCTTGTCAGGAGGATGGTTTGAGTGGCCAAAAAATCTCAAAGGATCATAGCTGAAGAATTGCAGCTGTGAAGTTAGTTGGGTCCACATACAGTAGTTGTGATGTGCGGCAAAAGGTTGAGCTTCGCGAAATGAGAAGTGGCAATAAGATAGCAAAAACACTGAAAATGCCCATTTCCACCATCAGGGCAATAGTTAAGAAATTCCAATCAAATGGAAGTGTTATGAATCAGCCTGGAAGAGGATGTGTGTCTATCTTGTCAGGAGGATGGTTTGAGTGGCCAAAAAATCTCAAAGGATCATAGCTGA